ACGTGTCCGCTATTGTCACTGCGTTCAGCCTCTTATAGTCGATCACCATTCGATATTGCTTTTCCCCATTTGCCTTTGGTTTTTTTGGCACTACCCAAATTGGTGAGTTATAAGGACTTTTTGATGGTCGGATAACACCCTCGCAAAGCAGCTCATTAACCTGCCTCTCGACTTCGTCCCTCATACACGCAGGGTATGGATAGCTTTTGCCGTATATTGGCTCGGGGGTGGAGGTTTTTATTTCGGCGCGAACGCTTGTGTCTATAAGCTCGTTCCCATTCAAAGGCTCCAAAAGATTGGAATATTTCTTTAACAGAATGTCTATTTTTTCGTGAACTTCAGGAGGCATTTCCTTTCCCTATGTAAAATTAACATTACAGGACGTGCGCGCATTAAGCGGGATTTTGTAGTTCCCTATTTTTAGTAAGTTATCCTTCCTATCTATTACAGCGCCCAACTCTCTTAAAGTGTTATCGCCGATGATTCCACTGAAACCACTTAGAGTTGATAACACAAAGAATTAGAAACCACTTGAGTTGCCTGCATTTTCAAATAACTTTACTTTTACTTTTTCCTTTATAGGAACGGAACCTCCAACAGATGCTACGTTAAAAGTTTATTTTACCGGTATTGTTTTGGTCGCTATATCCTGTCTAATAAAATTCTTATTCGCACCGGTGTCGACTAAGAAATCTAGCGCGCGACCATCGGGTAGCGTATATTCTAAGTATGGTACGCTAGATGACCGGAGGATAGAAAATCCTCGGAATTTTCGTCTTTTGTGGGTTCTTGGTCTCCGTCCTGCTTCTCACCTTCATCTGGGACGGTATGAAACAGTCTTTGCTGTTTGCGAGGTAAATTGTCAGAGCGGGCACCGCGTTTGAAGGGGTTTGGCCTGTTTATATAATTAATGTTACGCGTTTGTACCGAAGGATCTACCTCCATCTTTTCCACGCGAGAACTCGAGGAGTTATTTTGGTTATCCTCTCTCCCGGAAGGACGCTCGTTCTTCAAGTACTGAGAACGGTTTTCTTGTGAACGCCATGTAGGTTTCGGCGGTAATTGGGGGGGTTTCCTACTCTGCGGATAAAAGCTGCTCGGCAAATTATTTACCGGCACTACCACGCGATTATTAGAATTATTTGAAGAGTGTATCGCAAAATTTCGGAAATCGACATTTTGGATTTCCATACAGGCCGAATATGCCTCTGGCAGGATTTTAGGACGCTGTATGAGGATCATTCTAGACTTCTCCCCATTTAGGCCGCGTATAAAAACGTCGAGTGCGCGGTTGCGGTAAGTTTCCACAAGAACTTTTACCGTTTCGTCCGTGTAGGACTCAGTTTCAATTTTATTAATTATGAGGAAGAACTGATGGTTTACCTTCGCATAAAATTCGTCGATCCTTGATCCCTTCTGTTGCAACTGGGGCAACTGGTGTTCAAGGGTGCGAATGTCTCGCTTGTCTTTGCCCAGTTACTGTCAAAGATTTTGTAGGATATTAAAGCGGAATCAGCAGCACCACGCACCTTCTGCCTAATATGTTGTAGAATTGCACGATAGAGCGGTTTCCCCTTTACGACTTCAAAGTCAGAGAGTATTACCTCCACCGAATGAACCCAGNTTTCAAATAACTTTACTTTTACTTTTTCCTTTATAGGAACGGAACCTCCAACAGATGCTACGTTAAAAGTTTATTTTACCGGTATTGTTTTGGTCGCTATATCCTGTCTAATAAAATTCTTATTCGCACCGGTGTCGACTAAGAAATCTAGCGCGCGACCATCGGGTAGCGTATATTCTAAGTATGGTACGCTAGATGACCGGAGGATAGAAAATCCTCGGAATTTTCGTCTTTTGTGGGTTCTTGGTCTCCGTCCTGCTTCTCACCTTCATCTGGGACGGTATGAAACAGTCTTTGCTGTTTGCGAGGTAAATTGTCAGAGCGGGCACCGCGTTTGAAGGGGTTTGGCCTGTTTATATAATTAATGTTACGCGTTTGTACCGAAGGATCTACCTCCATCTTTTCCACGCGAGAACTCGAGGAGTTATTTTGGTTATCCTCTCTCCCGGAAGGACGCTCGTTCTTCAAGTACTGAGAACGGTTTTCTTGTGAACGCCATGTAGGTTTCGGCGGTAATTGGGGGGGTTTCCTACTCTGCGGATAAAAGCTGCTCGGCAAATTATTTACCGGCACTACCACGCGATTATTAGAATTATTTGAAGAGTGTATCGCAAAATTTCGGAAATCGACATTTTGGATTTCCATACAGGCCGAATATGCCTCTGGCAGGATTTTAGGACGCTGTATGAGGATCATTCTAGACTTCTCCCCATTTAGGCCGCGTATAAAAACGTCGAGTGCGCGGTTGCGGTAAGTTTCCACAAGAACTTTTACCGTTTCGTCCGTGTAGGACTCAGTTTCAATTTTATTAATTATGAGGAAGAACTGATGGTTTACCTTCGCATAAAATTCGTCGATCCTTGATCCCTTCTGTTGCAACTGGGGCAACTGGTGTTCAAGGGTGCGAATGTCTCGCTTGTCTTTGCCCAGTTACTGTCAAAGATTTTGTAGGATATTAAAGCGGAATCAGCAGCACCACGCACCTTCTGCCTAATATGTTGTAGAATTGCACGATAGAGCGGTTTCCCCTTTACGACTTCAAAGTCAGAGAGTATTACCTCCACCGAATGAACCCAGCACACGTATTGCACTGGGTTACCATCAAACACTTGTAGTTCCTTGACACAGTCAGGAAGCCTACTAATATCGCGTACTTCTGTTTCAGTCGTGGGGGCTTGAGCCACTACCTCCTCTGGTTGTTCTACTGGGCCACTAGTTCCTAGTGTGGTAGTCCTGGAGCTAGCGTCTATACGCGCCACGCGCCCTTCTAGAATGTTAATCTTCTCCAGAAGGGCGTTGATAGCCCCAGTTAAATTCGTGACAGTGATCCTCAAGTTCTCCATCCTAGAAATAGCAAAAAGATAAATTCGTGGTAATATACTTACAAGACACGGAGAACTGGCATTCGGTAGCCAGTCTGATCCCTTGGTTAATTATCCCTTAAATTGTTTAATTAGTCTATATCCTTTAATTTATAACTTTATTAGTCCTTTTTCCCCGTATATGTTTATTCTTTTAAAATTGTTTATTGTTCTTTGGAGGTTTATACTTTTATTTTCATAACTTGTCCACACTTTTCACACTACTGGGCCCCTGCTCGGGCGCCAGTTACGGACGTTCAGTCCGTATAAGTCAAAAAAATTAATTGGGCCAGCCGCCCAAAAGGAAACACAGACTAGTNCCATACAGGCCGAATATGCCTCTGGCAGGATTTTAGGACGCTGTATGAGGATCATTCTAGACTTCTCCCCATTTAGGCCGCGTATAAAAACGTCGAGTGCGCGGTTGCGGTAAGTTTCCACAAGAACTTTTACCGTTTCGTCCGTGTAGGACTCAGTTTCAATTTTATTAATTATGAGGAAGAACTGATGGTTTACCTTCGCATAAAATTCGTCGATCCTTGATCCCTTCTGTTGCAACTGGGGCAACTGGTGTTCAAGGGTGCGAATGTCTCGCTTGTCTTTGCCCAGTTACTGTCAAAGATTTTGTAGGATATTAAAGCGGAATCAGCAGCACCACGCACCTTCTGCCTAATATGTTGTAGAATTGCACGATAGAGCGGTTTCCCCTTTACGACTTCAAAGTCAGAGAGTATTACCTCCACCGAATGAACCCAGCACACGTATTGCACTGGGTTACCATCAAACACTTGTAGTTCCTTGACACAGTCAGGAAGCCTACTAATATCGCGTACTTCTGTTTCAGTCGTGGGGGCTTGAGCCACTACCTCCTCTGGTTGTTCTACTGGGCCACTAGTTCCTAGTGTGGTAGTCCTGGAGCTAGCGTCTATACGCGCCACGCGCCCTTCTAGAATGTTAATCTTCTCCAGAAGGGCGTTGATAGCCCCAGTTAAATTCGTGACAGTGATCCTCAAGTTCTCCATCCTAGAAATAGCAAAAAGATAAATTCGTGGTAATATACTTACAAGACACGGAGAACTGGCATTCGGTAGCCAGTCTGATCCCTTGGTTAATTATCCCTTAAATTGTTTAATTAGTCTATATCCTTTAATTTATAACTTTATTAGTCCTTTTTCCCCGTATATGTTTATTCTTTTAAAATTGTTTATTGTTCTTTGGAGGTTTATACTTTTATTTTCATAACTTGTCCACACTTTTCACACTACTGGGCCCCTGCTCGGGCGCCAGTTACGGACGTTCAGTCCGTATAAGTCAAAAAAATTAATTGGGCCAGCCGCCCAAAAGGAAACACAGACTAGTTAAGAATTCACTTAGGTTTTATTAACACTTAACTCCTTACGACTAAGTCTAACTCTAAGGGCCGTTTGCACCATGTCTAGTTAACGCTAACTGGAGGTACATCCTTCAGTTAAGCACGTTAACTGCTTTATCGATCACATGTTATATGATGGGTGTCGATAACGTCGATAAAGATGTTTAACTGGGAGTTAGAATTAACTAGACATGGTGCAAACGGCCCTAAACGTACTTTATGATAACCCGTCCCGAACTCGACTGACTGCATGTTGTGGCTGTTGCTTGCTTGCCACCTTCGATCTCTGGCACCAACGCAATGGTTGCGTAACATGTTTACAACCTATTGTCTCAGACTGGATTTGGCCTTGACTTCCCTCGGGTGCGTTATGGAATGCTGGTGGCAATGTCTCCCGTTAGACCATATGGTGAAATTAAAATATGCTGACACTGCGGCACGTGTAACGGCCAACCGTGGGGGCGTCGCAACAAATGCGACTAGTGCGTGTTAACTTACATATTTGTATGTATGCTTTCTCTTTTTAGTGTAAAACGCCGCCCACGCTGGAGTGAGGAAGGGGAGGATGCCCTCCTGGAAATATTGGGAGAAAGGATCCAAGAGCTACGCGGTGCCTGCAAAAAATGGACATATCTATGCCGAAATGGCAGAAGAAATGTGCGTAAGAGGCTACCATTTTTCTGCGAGCGAGGTGAAAATAAAAATTCACAATTTCACCAACAAATACCGGTACGTAAAAGGAATTCTTAACTTTACGGCCACAATATTTTTTGGTGTTAAGGAAAAATTAGGAGGCATGACACCTGCATTACTTTCATTCATATGGCAAGATTTACCTTTTAAAGTATTCATAAATAAGCTCCATGTGCCAACTCCTTTGTGGCCGTATATTAGATTTTCCACGGATAGTGATTTGTCCGGATGGCCGCATACCCGGCAAACCAGATATCCGTTGCATCCTTTACGTAGTAAACCCAACTCATGCTCGTTAATATAAAAATTTTAATTTCATATAATGTGATATTGTTTTTTTCTTAAAGGGAGGAAAAGAAAAAGGTAGGGCCTTCAGGAGGGTCTCCTTCAAGATGGCGATATTATCAAAGGATTCACCAGCTCCTCGGTGGCTACAAAGCTTTTAATATAGAGAGCGTTATTGAGGAGAGTAAAGGTAATAATGTAATGTATTAAAAGTCCTTTATTCACGTTTAAAATGTAATAAGAGGTATTTCATGTCACCGCGGCCACCTTTGTGCGCGACCTCTATGGATTTGGATAAGAGATTAAAGGTCTAGGTGACATGAATATACGTGCAGCATTTTTTGCCGATATGACGTAGGGTTGCCTATTTACACGGGACTTAAATTTTAAGAAAACGTCATACATACCTTTCTTTAAAGTGCTGTATATTGGAAACCTTTCAACGCAGCGTAATGAAACAAATTGTTTTTCTTCCGTCTTTATATGGGCTTTAATTGTGCATTTATAACATTAATGTGCAATGTATAAAAAACAAAAAAAAAAATAAGTAAACATTTTTCTTTTTGATTTTTTTTGATTATAGCATTTTTAAAAATTTTTATTTTTACATAAAAACATTGTCCATAATGTCAACTTTAAGTATCCAAATGCAAAAAAGTTCAATTCTGCCGTTTCCTTAAAGGGATTTTCATGATTTCAGACCTTTAGTAAAGTTAATACGATTTATTCATATTGTTTTTGTTTTTTACACACCTTCCCTCTTTCAAAAATATACAATTTCATAAAAGTTCAATGTCTATTTATCATATTGCTCTAGCGTTAGACGATCTAGAGTGCAAATGCATAAGTAGCCCATTATGCCCATTTGGATACTTAAAGTTGACATTATAGACAATGTTTTTATGTAAAAAGAAAAATTTTGAAAAATGCTTTAATCAAAAAGAAAAATGTTTACTTTTTTTTGTTTTTTATACATTGCACATTAATGTAATAAAAGCACAATTAAAGACCATAATAAGACGGAAGAAATACATTTTGTTTCATTAAGCTGCGTTAAAAGGTTTCCAATATACAGCACTTTAAAGAAAGGTATGTATGACGTTTTCTTAAAATTTAAGTCCCGTGTAAATAGGCAACCCTACGTCATATCGGCAAAATATGCTGCACGTATATTCATGTCACCTAGACCTTCAATCTCTTCAACTTTCATCCAAATCCATAGAGGTCGCGCACAGAGGTCGCCGAGGTGAAATGAAATGCCTCATAATGTTGTTTTAATTTCAGTGATTGACTACCTTGAGAAGTCGGTGGATATCCGTTCATCCACGCCAATTTCGGATGAGTCAGTGGAACCTGCAAAGAAAAGGAAAATGATTAATTTTCAAGAAGAGATTCTGTCTGAATTTAAAAAATCAAATAAAAAAGTTCTCGATTTTGTTAAATGTGACTATGAAGAAACAAAGAACTTCCAGACTCAGATGATTACTATTGAGGAAAGAAAAAATCACTTGTTGGAAGTTTTTAGAATCGATGCAAAATAAAACCTTCGATAAAATATAATGCATTTATTCTTACTTAAATCAAATAAAATGTATTTATTCTTACTTAAAAAAGTAACAATGGCATCTCTTATTTCTTGTGCGTTTCAATTATGGTCAGTGAAAGTACTTTCTCTGTCTGGTTGGCCACGATTGTAACGAATTTCATGCTGGGTTTGTTTCATTATCCAGGTTGCATTGATATGATCAAATTATGCAAAATACAGGAGCTCTTTACAATTAAAGGCGCGTTTTTTATGTCATTATCAATGGCCCGTAGTCATAGTCAAAATAAAGTCGACTTTAAAGTTAGTTGCAGCTTTTTTGACAGATATCCCATTGAAAATTATGTCAAAAAGCTGCAACTAACTTTAAAGTCGACTTTATTTTGACTATGACTACGGGCCAATGCCTTTACCGATGCGCCTAAAACGAGCTTTTAAATGCCCAAATGCATTTTCCACAACTCTTCGTGATTTTGAAAGGTAGGAATTAAATCGTTTTTCATTTCCATCCGCTACTACGGAAAATGGGTATGGTTTCATGAGATTTGGTGATAAGCGGAAAGCGGAATCACCCAACACCAAAACTGGTACACTTACTCCGCTTATAATTTTTGCATTCTACTTAAGAAGTGTACTTTCTAAAATTGTTTTAAGTGATGATTTCTAAAATATGTGGGAATCGTTAGAACGTCCTGGAGCACCAATGTTGACGTACATGAATCTATAAATAAAAAATAAAAATAAATAATAAATGTTTTCTACGAAGCAAATAGAAACAAAGAACCAGAAATTGATGACCCAGCAACACGAACGCAAAGCTGATCCAGTAGTGAGTCAGTATTATTCAGGTTGATCGATGAAGCGCGGAATTTTCGATTCATTGCAATCAAGACGCCTCCGCCCCTCGAGCGCCCAGTCTTAGCGGCGTCTCTATCTTTCCGGAAGACAACAAAGAGCATGGGGTCGAAGAATTCCGCATTTTTGATAATATGAATGTTGCGAGGTCTAGGCAGCGCCGCCAAGGCAGTAGCAGGATTATCCGGCAAGTTGATCCCACGAGAATGGTCACCGCCACTAGTACCAGCAATAGTAGCGTAAGTTCGTGCATCAGCACCACCAGCAACGTCTCCAGAGGCAGCAGAAGGTGTAACAGCATCAGGCCCACAAGAATGCGCACCGCCACTAGTACCAGCAATTCGAGCGAGGCGAATGTACATTACCAGCAATGGGCAGTTTATCTGTTTGGTTGACATCAGAACGCGCGGGAATTAGACCAACCTTAACTTTACGCACCTTAGCATTGGCAGCAACAAACCTAGCAGCAGCACTGCCTGCATCAAGATCAGCATCAGAAGACAAATTCAAAATATTACTGTGGCTCGGAGCATTTGGCGATGGATTAACAGCAGTAATCTGGTGATGAGTAACAGTACCAGACCCACATGAATGCGCATCGCCACAGGTACCATCAATAGCAGGGCAAGTTCGTGTATCAGCACCACCAGCAACTTCGCCAGCAGCAGCAGCAAATGTCGAGCGAGGCGAATGTAACTTACCAGAAATTGGCAGTTTATCGGGTTTCTTAACATCAGAATGCGCGGGAATTAGGCAAAACTCAAGAATGATAGAATGTATTCTCTCAATCGTGGGCAAAACTTAGCTTTATGCCCCTTAGCATTGGCAGCACCAGCAGCAAGATCGCCCGCGTCACAATCAGCATCAAAGGACAAAACCACAATATTAGTTGGGTTTTCGCATTCTCCAGCATTTGGTGACTGGTTAACAGCAGTATTCTGTGATGAGAAAACATCGGCATTCTTGTTCTTCTCCTCTGCTAACGATTTAATTTCACTGCAGAGCTTTTCATTTACACTCCGAAAATTTTCAGTTTATTTTGTCAGTTCTTCAGCTAGCACTCTCACTTTCGCTATTGTTGTTGTTAGTATTTCTGTCTTTGTAACGAATAGCTCCTGGTGCAATTTTATGTTCGCCAGTTTCTCGCTGAATTTCTCATCCATCAAACGGATTAATTACTTCTCCTACTTCCTATTCACTTTCAATGCTTCCTCAAATTCGTCTTTATACTCTTTCAGGTACATATTGTTTTTCTTGACGTTCTCCGTGATATCCCGCAAAACAAGATCAACATTTTGTATGTAGATGATGCACTCCGGGCAAATAAATTTAACCATAGGATGCGTTCCAATAATTGTCGCATTGTAGCTATCCAAGCCCGAGCATTTTGTTGCTGAGTGAAATAATTTCTCACAAACGCCCTCACATCGCAAGCCCGACCCGCCTCGAATCAGTGATTTGCAAGTTACGCACTTGTCATTATCGGACATGTTTGCTTATTTCGTTTTATTTTATTTTATGCCGTATGTGTGTATGTAAGTATTCACTTTAGAATGTATTTGTTCTTGCTTTTGGTACACAAGCTTTTAATTCCGCTTATTACGATTCTTTTCGCCGTCCTTTGGCCCAAAGCAATTCGGCCAAACCAATACTATAATTAAATAAAACTGAAGCGGGTTCTAAAGGGGGTCTATGTAAAGTTTGAAAGCACGGAACCTTATAGTTTTAAAGTAATTTGTTATTAAAGTTTTTAATTTTAACCAAAACTTGTATGGGACTATTTTACAATATATAATGCACTTTCCACTAAATTTACACGTTATTTACACTCAATATATGTGCAGTTAGAGTGTGCACGGCCAAACAAATAAATACGTTTAGTATATTACAGCTTTTTATAAAAAATTGATTGCTGTTTAATTATTATTAGCCGGCCACAAATGCGCGTGGCTTTGCCGTTCAGTATTTTTCGAGATTACCGCGTACAAAGAATCTCGACTTTCCATTATACTCTGTATAGATGAGAGTACATGCAGAATATGTGCAAATGACAGCAGGACTGTGTTGCCACATCTAAAAAAAACCAAGGGTGGAAAGTAAGACCAAAGGGGGATTGGAGTCATCTTTTTGCGTAGAATTCCTTTCTGCGTTGGCGGCCATCGGCCGCGCTTTAGATTATAACCCTTACCAAATAGAACTCTCCTTTTGGTGTGCACCAACTGGGGCTACTGCCCCAGTGATGTAAACTTGAGAAAGGATGAGATAACTAGAATTCCGTTTCTGTGTGGTGGTGATGTCTATTATGGTTACTGGGTGTTTTATAAAAATAACTTGTATATAATAAAGTATAAAATTATAAAATAGACACAGTGCTGCTGCCATTTGCAAATATTCTGCATGTATTCTCATAATAATTAAACAACAATCAATTTTTCATAAAAAACTGTAATATACTAAAGTATTTATTTGTTTGATCGTGCACACTCTAACTGCACATATATTGAGTGTAAATAACGTATAAATTTAGTGGAAAGTGCATTATATATTGTAAAATTGTGCCATACAAGTTGGTTAAAATTATAAACTTTAACAACAAATTCCTTAAAATATATAAGGTTGCGCGCTTTGAAACTTCATACAGGGAACTATTAGACCCCCCCTCTACCTCCCATATTTTCTTAATGCTGTACTCCGGGGTCACCAATCTAAACCCACCCATTTTGTTTCGTGATATCACAACCAGCGTAAATGGCGGCTTACGTATCTACATAAATCGAAAGTGCTGCCAGATTGTCAAAATCAAAAATAAAATAAATGAAACAGAAGAACGTTTGTGAAGTTTTCTTTTACTTCTTTTGCTCTATTCGTCGTGAGTTTACACTTATGAGGGGTTGAGGTCTTATGCCTCCACAAAGCAAATGTTTGGCATGTATACATATAAAGACATATATATTTGATATTCTAAAAGCAGAACTCTGCTGATTAATGGATACGATCCTCCACCTTAAATATTTATTTACACAATAAATGTTATATATTTTTGAAAAGAGGAGAGGGGCCTTGCAGAAAGATGTTGCGCCTCTTTTCTCTGGCAACACAGAAAGGTGTTCAGCCCCTTTTCTTTGGCAACACATAAATGAGAATTCTACGTAGTGAGGATTATAATCTTTAAGCGCGGCCGAAGGCCGCCTACGCAGAAAGGTGTTCTCTGCAAAAGGTGTTCAGCCCCTTTTCTTTGGCAACACAGAAAGGAGAATTCTACGTAGTGAGGGTTATAATCCCTAAGCGCGGCCGAAGGCCGCCTATGCAGATAGGTGTTCTATGCAAAAGGTGTTCAGCCCCTTTTCTTTGGCAACACAGAAAGCAGAACTCTACGCAGTGAGGGTTCTCTGCAAAAGGCGTTCAGCCCCTTTTCTTTGGCAACACAGAAAGGAGAATTCTGCGTAGTGAGGGTTATAATCCCTAAGCGCGGCCGAAGGCCGCCTACGCAGAAAGGTGTTCCCTGCAAAGGGTGTTTAACCCCTTTTCATTGGCAACACAGGGTACTAAGGATAATAATCCTTAAGCGCGGCCGAAGGCCGCCTACGCAGGAAGGGTTCTCTGCAAAAGGTGTTCAGCAGCATTATATTTATATTTTTTTTATATTCCTTGCATGATTTATATAGAAGCATTTACGCTGAGTTGCAAATGGCTTCTCGCACGAAATTTTTAAACGATATTACTTCATACTAAAGTGATATTCAAGAATACCTAATAAAGCAAGCTGAAACAATTTTAACTCGTGTCAAGAGTTTTTGGCGTATATGTTTGTGTTGCGTTTTCTTACATACGGTGTCGTTGATTTCTCAAGTAAAACAAACAACTTTAATACCATATATTTTAAAAACTAGAAGGCTCCCGCACCTAAAAGTGAGCATTTTTGAAAAGGGGGGATACCCAGCTTTCCAATGGTACCAATTTTTCAGATATGTACATATATTTTAAAATTTTTGCTTTCATTTTTGTCTGCTTTTAATATTGAATTAGATTCGCTAAGATTGTAATAAGCTTAAAACGAAAAAGCCCAGCAACCCTTTTCTGTTAATCTTGAGCACACAAAACCCTTTTTTGTTAAAATTCGGTGCTGCATAAAATCCTGGCTTT